AACCCACCGTGGACAACTTTAAAGTCCCGCTCTGCACAAAGACCCTGAACACAACACACACACAGCCACAGCAGAGGCATAACGTGACATGTGGATGTTTGTAAAAACGTAAAAACCCAAAGTTTGGAATAATCTCTCACCTTATTGTCATCAGCGAACAGTTTCAGAGGCAAATGCAGCTCCAGGATTTCATTTGTAGACGGACTGAATCCTGCGACGCACACGGCTGGAAACACAAAGATAAAAGGTTCCGTTTGACTTTAAATGCAATTAACGCTTATTCTGTGTGCATTCAGACCAATTTGAAATGTAACATTTTCAGATAATGAGTATTGCTAAAACGTAAAGTATGAACTCACTCTTCCCTGACGTCCACTCCAACACCTGGGTGGGATGTTCCAGCTGATACACATGAAGATCTTTGTACCTGAAGGTATTTATTGAGATCATTTTAGAAACACCACAATGATATTTACACATATATGTGGCAGTGTTAGGTCACTCTTTAGGGAGGTTTAATGTTCACATTTTGTATTTGATGGTAACATGTTTTTGTTCAGTATTCACACCACACTCCATCCAAAATATGACATATTTATTGTTTCCCTATGTCAGGGCTAAGCACACCTACCGTAACTATAAAACACGATTTATTGTTCCTAATTAATAGAATCCACTCTTCAATTGGCAATGGATATATTTAACTTAGACCACCGTAGATAAGTTTAATGAACAGATAATGTTGTGTATCACTTAGGTCTGCTACGTGCATTAAAAGCAAGCCGAATTAAAACACTTTAAACATGCTAAAACAAAGAGGAAACTTCTTATTTTCTCACGTTTTCAGGGACTCGATAAACCAGTCATCTAAAATATCATTAAAGTCTGTTTCTTCCATCTTCAGCCTTCAGCATCCTCACGTGACCGTCTGTTGATGTTTCACTTCCGGGTTCGTCTCGTTCTCGAGCGTCTTATTGTTGACGCTGAAGCTCACAGCGCCCCCTGCTGGACAGGAGCCACTGGATTTATTTTCACTTTTCTGTTCACAAACATTTTACATTCAAACATTAAACAGACTAAACTGAGCAAACAGAACGCAGACCGACCGTGGTGAGAAGTTTGTCCTCAGTATTTATTCACAGACATAAGTATAACTCACATTGACTATCTTACAGAAAGGGAGAAGAAGAAGTGTTTTCCTACCATGGCTTAAAAAAGATCATTTTGACAATATAGTTAATGATTTAGTGTTTTGATTTTTTTTTATAAGTAATACAGACAACAATGCTTTTATTTTAATACTTATTTATAATTATTGTTTTGTTGTTTAACAATAAAAAATAAAGTGTGTGGGGGGAATGCAATGTCGCAGCTTTTATTTTGAAAGTACAAAGAAGGGTCTAACAGGAGGAACCTTCCCTTCCACAAGAGAACCAAATGTGGATCATTCCGCCACTGAAAATAGTCTCTATACATGTTATGTAAACAATCATTAAAAATAATTACTGAATAATTCCACATCTGCTGTTTTCACCGTGTGTCTTTGTTTGTGTTTGCAGCTGAACAATAAAGCTTTGATCAAACTAAACTGTGACTTGAACATTAGTGAGCTGAACCTCTGCAGACGCTGAATATTATCAACAGGGGCAAGAAAACTCCAAACATCTGTGGTGTGACTTTAGTTTGACAAACCGTGAGGACGAGTCGAGGTGATTATTTAACTGCAGGACGGTCGTGTTGTGTGTTAGATAAAGAAAGGAGTGAAAGACAGTTTCTCTGTCCGTAAACTTTCCAGTCATACATCCGTACGTTCTCTTGAGCAGCATCAGTCCCGGTGGTTCCCACAGACCCATCTGAGCTCCGCTCGGTCTCTGAGGTCCGTCGGCTCCGTCGTGGAGAACCAGCTGCACTGACAGGCGAAAGCCCGAACACCTCTCCTCTTCTTCAGCCTGGCTCTGAGCTTCTCACGGTCCGGCATGTTGTTCCTGCAAAAGACACAAAAGAAACACGACGTTGGTAAACATGAATAATTCATGAGGATTTATGAGAGTAGCTTGTCTTTAATATTATAATATTGTAAAATAACCACATGACATTTTTATATCATCACAATTATTATTATTAGTTAGAATAATCAATGTAAATACTATTATTACCACTACTATGAAAACTATTATTAGTATTAATATTATAACTGTTATAATAATAATAGTTATCATTATCATAATTGTTGTTAGACAATGATGGCCACGGACAAAAACCAAGATGGCGGCGTCCTTTACACACATTGCAACGGTAAAACAAAATGTGACACATTTGTAATGTTTACATCTGTTGAGTGATCAACATCTGGCCAATAAGAGATATATCGTAGATCGGTTTCCAAGCAGGGGATCTGGACCCCTGAAGGGGTCGCCAGATAAATTCAAAAGGGACGCGAGGTGAACAGAAGAAGAAAGGAGACAAAACATCGTTGTTCTTTTTCTCAGACGTTCCCCTGATCTCCTTCTGAATCCTTTTACTTCTACAAGGACAGAGAAGTAAAATGGGAAGCGTTGGAGGAATGGTGGTGCCGTGTGGACTTCATGCCTCGTTGCAGACTCACCTGAGGAACAGGTAATCACAGGACGAGTCCCACTCACAGTTGTCAAACGTCAGCACCCGGAAGTCACAGGACGTACACCTCAGCTGGTCACATGACCTGTGCATCAGTCATCACCGTTAACAGGAGTGTATTTATTAAAGTTGTTGTGAAAACTCTGAGGTGTTTTCTCACCTCTTGGACGTTGGCGTTCCGACGCCGCTTGTGACGGAGCTCCCGCCAACAAAAACAGGACAACACCTGGACGAATGATGAACAATGCACAAAGAAAAGCAACATCCGACGTTAAGAGAGTCAACAGTTTCACACAAACATTATTAGAATATAGAAAACATAGTTTACACTTTTTATGAGAAAAACAAAAACACCTTATAATAACCATCATTAATAATTATGGTAAATTGATTGATTGAGTTAATTACACTTTAGTGAATAGTTATTTTACAGTTGACAAACAAATAATTCATAATATTATAATTAGTAATCTGTTCTTTTGACAGTTAGTAAACTGCCTATAAATATTATTTGCATGGCTATTATAAAGTTGTAACTGATGATAATAATTCTTTCTTGAATGGTTAATTAATACTCTGTAAAGCATCTATAAACATTATTTACATAGCTCAAACTTTGACCAGATTCAAAATTGGTTTTTGGTCCATCGCTCTATTAAATGTTTATAGATGTTTACAAAGGATTTCTTAAAAGTTTACAAATAATGTACTAATCATTAACAAATACTTTATAGTATACAAAGTCCTATAAATGTAAACATTATTAGTTATTATCTCATTGTTTGTTAAACAGACAAATAACTATAAAAAAATTAACCATTTATAAATGATGGTTATTATAAAGTGTCTGTGGTTATTGTAGTTATTATCATATGAAGCAGCTGTAGTTATTACTCACAGCTGTGTGTTGTTGTTGTTCACTTACTTTCTCCCTCCTGACTGAGACGACAGCTTCTTCTCTACTTGTGTTCCTTTAGGGAACTGTTGCGTCTGAAATGAAAAGTCAAATAAAGAAAACACATTGTTGTAGTAAAGAATCTGACGTCACTTCATTTGAAGCTGGATGGATTTATTTCCACCTGTGTTTGTCTGATACAACATTCATGTGGATTCAGTCACATTTTACAGGCGTCTGTGGTTCTCGTTTATTTTCATATTTTCATAATTTAAACTGGAGATGAGACGGCCGCATGATGATAACGTTTGGTAGTAATTACAACTTTGAGATACTTGAAGTATTTCTATTTCACTAAATTACATGAATTAATCTTTATATTTCAGAGGTAAATCATTTAGTTTTATTAAAACTAGTGACTTTATTGATGCTGTGAAGTGAAGGAAGGGAAGAAAAAGACTGCAAGCTAGTAAACATGATGTAAACAAAGTTGGATTTTAATTACTTAAACAATAAGCATTACTAAAACTTTATAAGGAAGAAAATGCACTGAACTCGTTTGTGAGACCTCATCGTTACGCTCGAGTCCTTAAAGAGTTTTATTTCTTTGAAGTGTATTCATTTGTAAGATGTTAAAAGAGGAGATGTGATCCTCCTCACCATAAAAACACAAAGGGAACAGATCGGTTTGATTATGACGATGATTACTTACTAACACTTTAATAATTACGTCTTTTTTTCACTAGTGTTTCCCATGATTATTTAATACTTTAACTTCCCTAAAAATGTATTTCATTAAAATATGGCTTCTTTTAATTTACTATTTTCTTCCAAGACTCGAGGAAGGTGAATGTCACAGGCACACCTAGACACTCTAGACCTAGACCTTTATAAAAACATATTCCATGTGGAGAAAAGTAATAGTTGTTAACGTGATGTTTACATCTTTCTATATAAAGTACATGTTCACCTTTAGTTGAGAGGAATCGCTGGAGTCGTCCTCCAGTAATTCTTCCAGAAGAGCGTCAATATCGTCGGCGACGCTGCTCACCGGCTGGTCGGGTGTTGTGGCTCTAAAATCAGAGGAAAGAAAGTCAAGTATCGAGCTTCAGTAAAGACGACACGATGTTTCATCGATTCATCGATTTAAACGTCACCTTTTAGGCTGATTCCAGTGTTTTTAGACACAATGTTTGCTTTTTAAGGAGTCAGCATTTCTGCAGTATGTTAGATGTGCTAGTTTGGAGAAGGCAGCATTTAGAGCCGTGTGTAGGGAATTAAACGTGAAAAATCCAGATACCAATATTTATTGACTTTTGTTTTGGTGTTGACTTCTCAGGACTTAAGTATTTCTAAACCTGGCTACAGGAAATTAAATAAACAATATGGAGCTTTCTCTGTTATGCAACTATATATATATATATTTATTTATTTAATTGAAATATTTGTACATACATTAAGTTTCTATGTGTGTGTGTGGGGGGGTAGAACTCACATTGCACAGTCCTAGTTTTGGAGATTACTCACTGAAGCTGCTTTCAAAAAAATATTTTCAATTATTTCCTTATTTTTAATTTCCTTTGAACTTTGATAGGTGTCTGTTCTAGTTATCATTATTATTATTAGAAATGATAGGTGTCTGTTTTAGTAGTTATTATGAACACAAGCTAACTTTACTGCACCTTTACTTAGCACAATGGTACATCCCACTGTTAGCTAGCATTAGCTAGCATTACCTAGCTTAGCTAGCATTGGCTAGCCACATTAGCATTGTTTACCTGTTGTGTTTTCTTTGTCCTTCGCTGTCTTTCCCGCATTTTCCCACCTCGCTCGGGTCCACGCGAGCGGAACACGTGACAGAAACGTTGCGACAAAACCTTTTTTCTACTTCATCCAGCAGTTCGTCCAGGTCTTCTTCTTCATCGTCGGCCATGTTTTTGCACACAAGCTAGCACGCTCAGAGCGTTCGTCGTTGCTAAGTAACAGGAGAACAGAGCGGAAACGGAGCGACAACCTCCTTCAAAATAAGTGTCGCAAAATTAATAAAATAAGATAAAATAAAAGAATCCTTTATTAGTCCCGCAGCGGGGACATTTATAGGATCACAGCAGTATATAGGATAGTGCAAACAAGAGACATAGTACAAAAAAATCAAAAGAAGTAATAAAACAGTAAAGAGTATTAAATAACTAAGAAAAGTAAAAAATTCACAATAACTAAAATATTATATATACAGACAGAATAATTGAAGTATTGCAATATTATACAGACAGAATAATTGTAGTATTGCACAGTGTATTTACGTTGCACATATAATGTGACGTTAGCTCGGACCAGAGACGAATTGTTTTGTTAATTTTAACTTCAAAGATAAGACTTTTATAATTCCTGGGGTGTAAGGTTACATTCAGATATTAGAGAGGCACAAGGCTAAGACGTAGGACAACATAAATAACTGATTTATAGATGTAATAAATACTAAGAAATAAAATAACCAACAACAATAAATGTATACCTCAAATATCACAATGGTCGAAAAGGTTTAGCATATACTAGTGGTCATACCCCCTTTTATGAACTTAATATTTACATAAATTATAATGTTAATGTTGATCATACTTACCCTAGTTAGTCAAATATAACTTTAAGGAACGCCGATGCGTTAGCACAACGTTTTTTCCAGCCTAAATGTTATATAATAATAATACTAAAACCAACGTACCATCTAGAAAAACTGAAATGATTTTTTAGAGGAAAATTTTATCACGTTGTCGGCAGGATTCGAACCTGCGCGGGGAGACCCCAATGGATTTCTAGTCCATCGCCTTAACCACTCGGCCACGACAACCAGATGGCGCTAGAACAGCCAACAAAGGATTTTAAAAAGTGACTTGCCTTTATACAAGCAACTTTCAAATGTATGACGATAAACCCCTTGAGATGTACCATCATATACTTACTGTAGCCTGCTGACAGAAGGAACATTATTCTTCTAGAGAGGTTGAATGTTTTTTTTGTTGCTGTAAAGTTTGACTGTTTCTGTGAGGATGCAGGAAATGCAGATGCAGAAACTGATGTCAGACACTAAGATTCATGTAGCTTCATTCATGACATTACAGCTGTATATTGAACAGAACGTTTAGTGTGTTATCTTGATTGGGAATGCAACAAAACCAGTCTCTCACCTAGTAGTTGGCAAGTTATATTAATAAAAGGAAATTGTAAATAAAATGCATTCTAGTAAAATAGAAGTTGTTGTTCAGACAGTCAGCATTATGGCCTTTAAATAATCCTGCAGCGCCTTCTAGTGGACAAATAACATAGTTCGTATCAGTAGATTCAACACATGCTTCAATAATATGCTCTGTTACCTGTTATATAATATAAACACATACTATTTGGTTTAATCCTCTCTGTGTGTTGTAGTAGTTGTTAATATAATTAGTATAAAAACTGCGTAGTGTTATTCTCTTTGCTCACCTTGAGCTGGCTTGTATTATATGTGTGGCAGTGAATAAAGCACAGTTTGAGGACATCTTCTTCTTCACTTGTTAGCAGACCACCTGTGGTGACAGAATATTCATTTAAGCAAACACACCTACAGAGCATGTGTGGATTACTGATCGGGCCTCCCGGAGAACAGGCCCATAGGGACCAAAGTGTCAGGTGTCCCCGCTGGACTTCACCTACAAAATGTCCTACAAAGAGACACAGTGAAGAGACTTTAATTACCACAAAGAGACACAACAAGACCACAAAGAGACACGAAATGATGATGAAAAGACACGAAGCAACTACATAAAGATAAAAAAAGTCTTACAAAGATACACAAACTGATAACAAAAAGAGGGCAAAACAACCACATACGAAAAGAACTTCATGAACAAAGAACAAAACAACTACAAAGAGACACAAAACAACTACATGTAAAACCAAATGTATCACATAATTCAAAGAAAAGCTATTTAAAGATATTGTAATAGAAACTTCTCTGCTTTACGAGAAGTGTTATTTTGAAAAGGTCTCTTCTGCGTTTTAAAGTGAAGTGTGAACGTTGTGGGTGGAAGCTGAACTATATTTACACCTGAGGAAAGGAAACAGATGAAGGTTTTGCTTCCTGTTAAGATGTTAACTTACTAAATGAAAGAAACACAACTAAAACTGTACAAACATCGGTGATGGTGGTTTCCCAACAGACGTGTTGTTCACCGTGAACCTCTCAAATGTCATGAAGCTCACGTTGCTAATAAAGTTCAACAGCACAGGTGTCTCTAAGGAAGAGAAAACTGATGAAAATATATTTCATACATACGCATCTTGTTCAAAAACTGCCATAAAAACAAAGTAAAAAGGTAGAAAACAACACAAAATATTGGCTGATAAAGTGTTTCAGGTTATTAGTCTTGTGACCTTTAACAATAACTAGTTCTATTTAGTTAACCTCCAACTTTAGCTTGCGAAACAGTTGTCAAGTTGCATTATGGGATATGTAGTATCCAGTGTTTACAGAGTAAAAGTGAGGATACCTCAGCCTCTTCAGCTTCAATTTTGCCCACTTAAATAAAAAAAACAGTCAAACAGTTAAAGTAATAATCGTTTTATCAAACAAAGTCTTCTTCAGAGTAAACATGAAATGGATAAAATCACAAACTCATCATTAAAATCACTGAGTGCTACTTATTCCATCTTTTGTCTTTATGTTGTCAGAATTTTATGACTCAAAATGAATGAATCTGTCAAACGAATTTCCCCTCCTGAGAATTTCCTCACATTTCACTTTTGTAGAATTGAAACTCATGAAGCCACACTTCAGATGGAGTTCCCCTATAGAATAAATCAGAGATTATTTTCACAACAACCACAAACCTAAAACACAGATTAAAATAATGTTTTTGTTTCAACTGTCATAAATGTATCATAAACTTCATCACAATCAGAGGTGAGTCACATAAATGCTCAAAAAGGTTCTTTAACATGTTTATTAAAGGGAAACAAGCGTTGGAATGAGGATAGAGGGCTGCCATGTAGCATGTCTGCAGAGTAAAGATAGTATTCTATCTTAACGTCTGTGAGCGTTAACAAACTGAACACCAGGAACAAAAAGATTAGCTTATAACAGACAAATGTCCTTTTATCCGTCAACAAACAGCAATGTTTTACATATATAAACAAAACTTAAGAGTAAAAACAAAGTGAAACCAGAGACAAATTCAATATCAGTGTCTTTAATTCCACTTATTCTTCTAGATTCAAATCTAATCTCACAACAAACTCGTTCATTGGCTCTGAACTAAAAGCTCAAAACAAGCCGCCATGACGTCTCAAAAAGCTGAGAACACAAGATCTCACTTATTAAAAACATTTCTTTACAAACCCTCCAGTCCTTCCTTTTTTATAAAACATAACCAAAACTCTTCTGTTAATCCTTCAGTTTCCAATATTACATTTTTTTATTGCTCAACATATACAAGTCTCAAACTGAACCAAAGAACACCGATAGACCAGCAATGCGTAACATGAAGTAAACATTGCATAAACATAAACGTAAACATGCATCTATTTATAAGATATTTTATGAAAGGAGTTCTCCATTATTTAACAACAGAAGCAGACAGAAGCAGACTGTGACGACGTTGCTGAGGGCTTTCCCCCGATGAGTCCACATAGATATCACAAAGCTGAGGCATGTCATCCATTTTCAGTTCTTCTTCTTTTAAAGGCCACCACGACTCGCTTCCTACTGCTGCTTCAAGTGTGACACAGTGGAGTTTCCCACCGACATGTGATGTAAAAGATATGGAGAGTAAAACGGCTTTGTCTGGTGTCTGGAGACAAAGTATTTATAACACAAGTAGATAAATGAAAATGTTATAAATAGAATGCAGGTGTTAGAAAAAGGAGCATTTGTTGTACTTGTATCGTGCTTAACTTTAGTGGAGCATAAAATATCAGGTGTGAAACAATCTGCTGGTTCAGAATGAGACCAAACTATGGATGTGCAGTTTCTGAGACAGAATGTGGCCTTTTGGTGTGGAGTCTCTTAGGTCAAAGGACTTCAGTGTTTAACATCTACCCCGAATATATTCAACCTTTCAGGTATTCAACGTGACTGTCAAACACTCACCCTCATCTTCCAGTAACCCAATCGTCACTGCTCAGAAAAACACTGAGATACAAGTTTAACCAACATCCACAATAAACCCGCAAAACAAAATAAAAGCCCAATGAGAACAATAAGAGACAGATCTGCGTACAGTCTCACGATATAGTCTTCCTGGATCAATTTTCTAAATTTCAACGACTCACCAAATAAGAATTTGTAGTTATTTGGACTCAAACAAGTCCTTCAGGATCCCAGTGAAGACGACCATCCTCTGTCCTCTCTCTCTTAACTTTATCTGGAGGTAAGTAGAGGCAGAAGGAGTCTCTGTTGGCTATTGTTCGAGACGCCAAGTTCGTGTTGGAAAAAATCTCATTATGTGAGTCTTTTAATGGTGAAATAAAGAATACCGAATATATTCTTCCTATTTATTCTCTGTGCAGAGAAGGTTCAATCATAACAACAGAATGCGTAAAGTCTCAGTGAGGAAGAACTTTCTTTATACATTATTTATTTTTATTTTTTTAAATGCTTTTTCTGACTGAAGCGTTGGTAACACATGATGTTTTCAAGGACCGTCGGAAAGATGAAAACACCGATCGTTTTAAAGAAAACATGCTTTTAAATCCCACCAGCGGGTTGAGGGGTTCAGAGAGAAGTCAGCAGTCAGTGACGTAAAGAAAAACAGTGAATAAAATAGTTTTTAAAAAAGTAAAATGAATCACCGTGAATAAATGAGCACAAAAAATATTAGACTTATTGGTCCAGTGGTAAATTTACAGAAAACTGTTTCACATTTCACAGGTTTGGGAATGAAAGAGGACATAGATCCTCAGTCTAGCACCTATCACACACATCAATAAAGTATCCATCTATCCATCCATCTATATTGACCATCGGTGGAGCAACTTCGGGTTCAGCCTCTTGCCCATCGGACACTTCCACAGGTGGACAGGAGGAGCCCGATGGGAATCCAACCACCGTCCTTTCATCACCCGGTCTATCTCCTGAGCAACAGCGGCCCCCCCACCGGGGCCAACGGCAGCTTCTGTCCGGTGCCGGGAGATCCCGCTCCGTGTCCACATTTTGTTTTAGCTTCTGAAGAGTTTTCTAGGCGTTGGTCCTTGAGAGGTTTTTAATATTAGGGGGGGGGTCATTGTTTATTAGAAGTCTGTGATCGTCCAATTAAAGGTTTCTGTTGCTCATTGGAGGGATTATCGGTGTCAAAACTGGAATTTTTCTTGAATCACAAGTGAAGTTGGAGATGTGGTAGAAATAAGGACACGCTGAGAAGCAGTTTAGTGGCGTCTTCACGGTTCGTCTGGTCGTCTTCTTTCGGCAACATTCTTTAAACGTAGATGTGCTTCATCGTGGCTGTTTTGGACACTTTAGGACCCAACGTATAAATCGACTGTAAGTCCTTTTTGTCGAGCGGTTTGAGCGGTGCGTCCAGTAACGTTTCTTTTTTCGGTGTCCTGTTTTTGTCTGTGATGATATTCTTTAAATTGCCCTGTGGTGGAGAGAAGAAAAAAAACATACATTTAAATGAGGAATGAAAAAGGACAAAGCAGTAAACTGGGTTGTTTGTGTCACTGTAAAATGAATGATTTGTTTTCTCCAGGGTTAGACTCACGTAGCTAATGAGGAAAATCACGAGGGCAAGCATCAGCACGATTGTGGCGAAAACAACCAAGTAAGTGTCCGTCAGACGGTTTTCTGTGGGACCGTCGGCGGGACAATCTGAAAGTGAAAACAGAAAGTCAAGTTACTCGAGTTCAAAACCTGCATCAATGACCTGATAACAAGATAAGATGAGCAAAGGAATACAGTGATGTTTGTCGACTTGAAGTTCCCCGATTCAAAGTTGAATAGACGCCTCAGGGGGCCAGATGTTTTTCACATCAGAGAACTGGGAACGTTTTGGGTAAATATGCGACTGAGAAACCCAGCGGAGACTCTTACCTCTCAGCCTGAGGAGCACCTGGCCCTCCCGGTTCTGTTCGCCCACGGGTGCCGCCAGGTGACACGTGTACAAGCCGGCGTCGCCGCAGGCGACGTTGGGCAGGATGATGTCGCGAGACTCGCCCAGCAGCTCCACCGCTCGCTCCAGGCCGAGGTACCACCGCGTCGTGCCGTTGGGGAGGTCTTTGGTCAGGAGGCCGTGGAGACCGGACGACGGCGGCTCTCCTTCCTGAGACATCAGAAAAAAAATGTGTAAATGTAAAGAGGAATAAATAGAACAATAAATAAGTAAAACTAATTAATGTAAAGAGGAATAAATAAAATAACAAATAAGTAAATAAAAGACAAAAATATAAGGATGAATACAAGGAAGTCTCTTACTTTTCTGTGTATGTTTTATGTTCATAACATTTTACTGTTTTGTTTTTAAGTCAGATGCTTTTGTGCTCTTAATGGGACTTTTGTGGAAAATAGTAATGGTTAAAAAAAACTAAAAAGTATTTTCTAAAGTATTTAAAATTGGGTACACATTGAAGAACATTAAAATTCTCTAACATTTATTTATTAGTGATAAAAACCAGAATAGCAGCGCTTTGAATGGAGCCATTCTGACTGAGGACTTTTACTTTAGGTACATTTTGCTGATTATACTTCTATTTCAGTAACTACTACTACTACTTTTTACCTCTGTAACTACTTCCTTTTACTTGAACAATACTACAAAGAGTGAATTATTGCATACATATATTTATCATACAATCTATTTCATGTTACGCACTTTTGGAGGGAACAGCAAACAGAAAGTGAAAGCTGCATCAATTTAAATTCAATGCAGCCAATGAGACGTGTTTGTTTCCTGATGCCAACGACCGTAAAACCAGAAGAACACGTCAGCTTCCTGTGAAGTCTACGTTAGAAAACGATGTGCATGTGAAGTATTTGTTCCATGAAATAAAGCGCAGTTTTACCTTGTACCACCTCACTGCTCTGTACTCGACACCTGGCTTATAAGCAGAGGTGCATTCAAGAGTACAGTTCTCTCCGACGGCGGATTGAACCTCCAGCACAGCCTCGGTGAAAGCCGTGGCCACGTCTGAGGAGAGCACACAAACATACGTTACATTTTAGTTTGTTGTAGAGCCTGTAATAAGTGTATTATAGAGCCTATAATGAGTGTATTATAGAGCCTGTAATAAGTGTATTATAGAGCCTATAATGAGTGTATTATAGAGCCTGTAATGAGTGTATTATAGAGCCTGT